ATATATATATTTAATATTTAATATTTAATATTTAATATATATATATTTAATATTTAATATTTTATAATTTTTTTAATTAAAATTTATATATTTATCTTTTAATTATAATAATTATAAATTTTTTAACTTAAGGGCAAAATAGTAATCTTATATAATTATTAATTAAAAAATTTATTTTTATCTATCACATCAATCAATTCACTCACAAACTTTCACATACTTTCTCTACACTTTCCACTCACTTTCCCTTAATCCAAACAACCTCACTTTCTACTCACTTTCCCTTCAAATCTCTCCTTTTCCACTCCCTCTTTTCCATCCTCAAATCCAAACAAAGCCTACCTGAATGCTTCAAGCAAAGAAATACTAAACACTAGTACTACAAGAATTGAATCAACAAGAAATTGTCATATGAAAAAAAGTGTTTGAAAATAAAAACATTAACATGGAAAGCAATAGAACATGATGTTTTTGAGATTTAAAATACCATACATGAGTGCGTGTATTTTACTAAGTAGGATAGTTGTTAAATTAGCTTAACAAAATTAGCGAGGAGGATAAATTTTAACATATTTTAAAAAATGAAAGATAAAAAATTAATATTTTAAAATTAAGAAACAAAAATTAAATATTTACACATTTAAAAAATCAAAAAAAATATTTAATCCATTATCAAAATTAATAAAAACAAATAAATTCAATGGTATATGAAAAGTTTTTTATTACAAAACTTTTAGTAATTAATTTTAATTCAATTTACATCATCACGTGAGTTTAGAATATAACTTAATCTCACAAAATTATATCACTCATTATTTTGTCAGAATTATAAATAAATATTCAATCTTATAAATTTTACACCGACATATCTAATATCTAACTTATAGAAAGTTGGAGATCCACATTGATGAAAAAATTAATAGCTAATATTTCGTCGATATGAAAAAGTGTTACATGGACATTGAAAGACTCAAGTTTTATTTTTTTTTTTCCTTTCTCTAAATGAAAGGCTCAAGTGTCTAACGTAGTATTTGTTTACTTCAGCGATGATTATTTTTGTCGAAAACTTAATTAGTTAATCTTTTATTTATTAGTTACTTCTAATAAAAAAATTTCTCGTATAAGCATGTTTCTATATCAACACTTATCAGTGATGCGATAGAGATTAAATAAGAATAATAATTAAATATTATTACTTTTCTATGTTTATAACAAAATTTTTAATGTGTTGTCACGATAGCACTGTATCTGTTCAACATGTATAGGTCGCAACCCTACAAGTTTTGCTCAACCCAAACATTGTGTAAAGTGTAAACCCATCCATTGGACCATTTCCCTAAGCATTCCTAACTTGTTAGTTGTTAGGTGGATTTGTCTATCACTTTTCATAAACTCTTCTCATCTCTTTCACTTTCACTTCTTCCATTCCATGAACTAGTAAAACTCAAAACAATGGCAACTTTTTCTTTCTCCTCTCACTTCCTTTCCTCCACTATTGCTCCTTCCAAGAACTCTTTTTTCTGTCCCCCCATCAGAGGAAACACCAAGCAATTCACTTTTTCCAAAGCCACAAACCTCTTGCAGTCGCAGCCACGGATAATTGTTTGCTCTTCTTCAAAGGATGGAGGTTCCGGTGACAACCCACCAAGGTTGCAACCTCACAAGACTCTGCATTTTTCGTTGGTTTTTGTTTTCTCAGTCTTTTGGCTATTGGGTTGGTTGAAATTTTAAATTTTGCTGTTGGGTTTGCAAAATGTACATTTCTTTTTTTTAATTTTTGTTTAAAGAGTTTGCACACTGCTATGTGTGTTATCTGATGATAAGTTTATCTTATGATAAGTTTGTTGATGGTGTTAGTATAATTAGTGTTATGTTATCCAATGATTAGTTTGTTAATTTTTATGATAATTATTTTTATTGGGTGTCAGTATAATTAGTGTTATCTGATGGTTGGGTGAGTGGTTGATTTTTATAATAATTATTTTAAAAAATTATCTGATTGGGCGTTTAGTGTTATTTGATGGTAAGTTTATTGATTTTTATAATAATTATTTTCTGATTAGGTGGTAGTATAATTATTTTTACACTGACATCGTGTGTAAATTAAACTAATTTTTGTTTTAGCAGCAACTTTTGCATCATTGAGGGGCCAGACATGGTTGAGGATTTTGTTCAGATGCAGCAGCAGGAAATTCAAGACAACATAAAGAGCAGGCGCAACAAAATATTTCTTCTCATGGAGGAGGTTGGTTTATAATGGCACTCCATTACTTCTTAGTGGCAATAGTATTTGGAATAGTATCAATTGTCATCCATGAATCATAGTAACATATGTTTATTGATGTGCATTGAGTGTGGCAGGTGAGGAGATTACGTGTGCAGCAGCGCTTAAGGGCACAAAAAGCTGTCAATGAAGATGGAGAGGAGGAAGCAAATGAGATGCCGGATATTCCTTCATCCATTCCTTTTCTTCCTCTTGTGGTGAGTCTAAGAAGAACCTTGCTTTGATTGATTAGGCTGTTGGTGTTGACTAAATCGTCCTCCAAAGGATTGGTGCAATTTGGTGAGAAACATATTGCAAAGTAATTCTATTAACGAGGAGTGTTAGCAATACACTTTCAAACATATTCTTTTGGACACTCTCCCTATTATTAGTTGAAAAGTTGAAATTTATTGAAAATCTTAAAGTTTTGTTAGTCTCACTTTTTATTTAACTAGTTTCACTCATGATTTTGTTGTATTTCAATAAATTCTAACCAATAATGGAGAGTGTGTTGCTAGTATTTTTATTTCTCTATAATTGACAAATTATACCAATGGTTGGAAATTAGAAGTTCCGAAGAAACTTATTGATGTGGTAGTCTAAACATTTTGTTCCCCCCCCCCCTGGCAAGGATGATATACCAAGGTTTTTCACAATTTTTGTAGAATATCACTTGGGTGAAACATCATTTTTCTAAAGTAGTTTTTAGTAACTTCTTTTTGTTTCTCTATGAATGCTTGGTGCAGTTGGAATAAAGCTGGTGCATTTGGCAATTATTTAATCTTCACTAACTATGCTTTTCCTATTGAAGTAGACGCCCAAGACTTTGAAGAAGCTCTATCTGACTAGCATATCATTCATATCTGCGATAATTGTATTTGGCGGGCTTATTGCACCGACGGTAATTTTATTACATTATGTGTTTTGTTTCTATTTTAATCTATGACAGATAAACATAACTTTAAAGTTAAAAGACTAGAATGTCTATGAGTAGATCATTTTGTTCTCTCAGTTTGTTATAGGGATCTGAATCTGATACCCTTTGTTACTCACTCTTTAGGGATCACTATGTTGTTGCACGATTGATCTTTGAGTTCTATTCTTCCTTTACCATGTCCACGCATACTTTTATGGACAGTGTATCCTATTATAGTTTGGTGCATGTGTAAATACTACTTTAATACTGTATTTCTATGTGGATATTATTTGAAAGTGACGACTTCTACCTGTTGCATTGCATAAATAAATACTAGTAAAAAATACTTCTATCTTTTTCATGAGAATCATTTCTCTGATCCATGACTGCTTCTTTTCAACTTAGTTGGGAGGAAATTCTGAGAATGGATAAAAGAAGGTGATTGAAGGGTATACATGTAGACTAGGATAGAGGGAGCCATTCCCATCAAATAAATTCCGTGAGATATCAAACCTTTTGGAACGTTCTTTTGCTTTGATAATTTGAATTTTGCGGGGCAAGTTAAGTTTTAGATATGCTGAGAAGTAAGTACTTGAATCTAAGATACTTTCTTTTTGAGACCAAATGATTAAAGATAAGTGGCTCTCAACTTCCCTTTATGTTATATTTTAGTATATAAAGTAAAGGATCTTCATTAGATGGGAAGGTGCATTTATTCATTTAGTATAAGACCTGGATTTCTTAAATAGTTAACTTTTGATGAAAGATCCACGAAAGGAGCAGTCTCAAGAGTGGAGGCATACAAAACATTGAACCCCCTGATTCACACATTTACCATTAAGTGGCTTGATAATAGTACATTTAGTCACTTTGTTAGCATTTTATTTTGCCTTATTACTTTCTATCATTATGGATATGGCTGAAAATACTGTATATTGGTAGATCATATACTCATCTCATATGTTGAATCTTTATGTCTATGACAGCTTGAGCTAAAATTAGGCCTGGGTGGTACCTCATATGAAGATTTCATAAGAAGTATGCATTTACCTTTGCAACTAAGGTATAATGTTCTTTGAATTGTTTGCTTTATTAATTATCAATTTCCATCAGGAAGAAACTGTTCTGTTGATGAATAACAGACTTGCTTGATCAATACCTAATTACAATTTGTTTGCTTCATGAATCCAGTCAGGTCGACCCAATTGTGGCGTCCTTTTCAGGTGGGGCTGTTGGTGTGATTTCAGTACTAATGTTAATTGAGGCCAACAATGTTGAGCAACAAGAGAAAAAAAGGTGCAAGTATTGCCATGGAACTGGTATGTTCCTACTCTTTGAAGATCTTCATTCTCTTAATATATCTCAATCATGCACATCTTAGACACATTATATTCTGTTTAGTTGAGTTTTAAGTTTTGGTGATTGTGATGAAAATTTGGTTGCACCATTGCACTCTTCATTTTTCAGATATAACAATAAATTATATTTACTGCACTTAAATTTTAATCACTAGGATTTTACATGCAGTAAGGTTGGTGTTCAATTTGGTAACATATTCTCAAGATTACCTATCCAGCTAGTACATACATGACAGGAAAACATTCAGAAATATTTTTAACTGTTTAATCAGATGATCTGCCACAACATCCAAAGAATTATATTCATTTCTTGTAATGTCTGATTCTTATGTCAAGTTTGTGTTCTTTCCAATTTGTTTTAAAATCTATGGACAGGATACTTGGCCTGTGCTCGGTGTTCGGCTAGTGGTGTATGCTTGAACATTGATCCTATTTCAGTATCTAATGCTTCTGCTAGACCTCTACGTGTACCTACAACCAAAAGGTGTCCAAATTGCTCTGGTGCAGGAAAGGTACACATTCTGGTCACACTTCTAATTCAAATTACAAATACTTGGAACTTTTATTTTAAAGTATTAAATATATTTTTAGTCCTTTATTTTATTTTATTTTTAATCAATTTTCACCTTTTCACCTTTGGTCGCTGAATAATTTTTTTACTAGATTTAGTCCTTGAACTTTTACAGATCTTTACTTTTAGTCTCTAAACTTTTTCTTCCTGTGACTTTTTATTCCCTGATGTTAAGATTTTTTTGTTCATGGAGGAAAATTTTACTTCTTTAGGGATAAAACTAAATAAAATTGTTCAGGACAAAAAATGATAATTGACAAAAGTTTGGGGACTAAATACATATTTAATTCTATTTTAAATTCTGATTTTCTTTTGAGTGAATGCAGGATACATAACAATTGTTGTTGCATGTGCAAATGTAGTTTTGCAACCAATTAATTTTAATTAGTAGTGATTAAATAATCATCTTACCTGTCTTGTAGGTTATGTGTCCAACATGTCTTTGCACTGGGATGATGATGGCAAGTGAACATGACCTGCGTATTGATCCATTCGACTGAAACTTGACATGAATTGAGGACTTGGGATTTTGTTGCTCTAACTGTATGTCAAAAATATGAACACCATCTACAAAATCCCCTTCTCCAAATTTAGCATTATTATTTAAGAAAAAATATATAAGGAATTGGGCTAAAATGGTTCCATTGTAGTCTTCCCCTCCAGATAAACATTGCCAAAATTGATCGGCAAATATTCTTTCTATAAGAACCAATGTTGTACTTTTGAGTATGTTGCAGGTAAATACTGCATTTTGTCATTAAGTAATAGTCCTTGTTTCAGTTAAAAATAATAAGCAGTGATACAGTCATTATTTTTAGAATTCAATTTAAACATGCTAACAATATAACAGTATAAAAAACAATAAGCACTTATACAGTATATATTAGATCTTTGGAAGAGATTATAAACTATTCATTTAGACTAATATGTTAAGTGCTTGTGAGGGGTATGGGCCATGGGGTACCTTATGAAAATATTTTGTAACTGTTTCATAAGATGTTTTTAGTATATTTTCAAAAGTTTTGCAATATAACTCATAGGGATAACTTGTGTAGTTTATAAAAGGCCTAGCCAATATATATATAGTGTGTGTTTTAATTTCTTTCTCCAAATGAATTTTTTTTTTCGTTTCATCATCCAAATTAATATAAATGTTATTTTTTCACAAAACAATTTATAATTAACAATATAATTAAATAAATAAATTTATAATAAAAATTAAATTATTAATATTTTTTTTTTTACATTTTCGTCACATTTAAATGTTTTATATTCTTTGGTTGTACGAAATTAAGATATTAAAAATAAAATGCTCTAATAATTGTATCTTTATTTTTTTTATATATCTTCATAATTAATTATTTAGAATGCTTTAAATGTAATATAAGAAATGATTAGAAAGTTTTGTTTTAATAAAATTATCTTTTTGGACATGAAAAAACTTTTTTTCCTACCAAACTCTCTTGTACAATACTTTTCTTTTCTTCTCTTTTTATTAATTTTTATTCTAATTACTTTAAAAGTCATGACTAGAGTGGTTTCTAATAAGTTGGCGTAAAAATATTTACATAAACAATGCATGAAATTAAAATTTATTTTAAAATATAAAATTGCTTGGGAAATGGGAAAGTTTATAACTCAATTTTAGGAAATCTTCATTTATTTTTCAAAATTTATAAAACAAGTTATTTATTTAAAATAATTTTAAGGTTAAATTGTACTATAATTTCCATAGTTCTCTAATTTTTAATAACACAATTTTAATCTTAAATTTTATTAAGTTTACACAATTTTAATTCTCAAATTTTATAAAGTTTGCATTGTTGGTATCACTTTTAAATGTCCATTTATCGTTAAAATAATAATATTAGTTATAACTTAACATTAAATATATGACATAATAATTAATATTTAGGCTAACTTGTAATGTTAGTTTTCCATTTTTATCTCATAAATATGATAAAATCAAATGAAAATAGAATAAATATGACGGTTAAAAATGTAATTTAATTTAAACATTATTAAATATCCCATCCAATTTAGAATATAAGCAAAAAATCTCGTTTGTTAGTTTTGAATATAAGTAAACTTTAACTAATCTCATTTTAATTATTTATTTGAAATTGTATCTCCAATATTTCTTTTTATTCTTGATATCAAGTTTCAATGAAAATAATATAGGAAAATAAATTATTTTTTTAGGTGAGATTAATAAAAGTAAATGATTTAAACAATCTTTCTTAATCAGTGTAAATGATTTTTTGTTGTTGCTTATATTCAGAACTAGAAAGAGTATGAATCACATTTTATCTATTTAATAAAAATATTATAATTAAAACGGTAATAAAATAAACATTTTGTAATGAGACAAAAATTATAATTTTTATATAATCAAGTGACTAAAATTATAAATTTATTTGGATAATCATGTTATTGATTTGAAATAATTACTAGTTTCGTCAATAATTAATATTTGTTAAAAAACTTGACTAACCATCTTTAGTAGATCATTTTTTTTTCATACATAAAACTCAAATTCAAGATCTTTGTTTATAGAAATTGAATTCAATACTGTATAAACCAATAACATGTTGGTACTAAAATTACACATTAAATATTATAGAAGGTTAAAAGCACAATTAGGCCAATTTCAACACAAAATTCGGATCCTTAGAGAAAGTGTTGGGCTCATGCACTTCATTAAACACACAATTCATTTTCATCCTTTCAATTCCCATGTTGGTGGATTTCACAAGATAATGTTATCACTTAAGTTTACAACTCAAATGAGAAATCAAGGACTCTAACAGTTTTAAAAATCTCAACGTAATGAGTGGAAACACAAACACTCTTCCTAAAGTTTTTCACCACTTCATATGACTTTCACATTAGTGGCACCTAAACACAGAGATCAATATTCAATATTTATATGATTTATAAGTATGAACATGTGACAGTTTGGCCGAGTGGTCTAAGGCGCCAGATTTAGGCTCTGGTCCGAAAGGGCGTGGGTTCAAATCCCACAGCTGTCAATATTTTGCACTTTTTAGTCTCAACCTTTTGTTTTTATTTTTGTCAGAAAAGAGATTCGAATGAAACTAATTGAATGGGCAGGAACAGGCCCAACCCAGTTGAAAGAGCCCACCATTCAGCAACATCATGAGAGTGATCCAGTTGACCAATTTCTCATCACATTATGAGAAATTAAGTTCATGACAAAATTGTGCTCATAGCACAAAATGAAAAACAACAGTAAAAAAGTTGAAATTATTCCTTAAAACTAATCCAAAACTACCAAAAATTATTCTGATGAGACACAAATGAGTTGCAGTTATATATAGATATATATATTGAAAATTGAAATTACTATATCTCATACATTAAAATTTCTTTGACGTAAAATTAAAACCAGTATATGTTAATCTAGTATAGCTTCACGTGCAGGTGACAACACCACCCCCATGAACAGAAGACTAAAAGTTAGACCTCTTTTTGAAGAGAACAAGAGAAGAGGTTTAATTATTTCTAGCTACTTTTATTCATTCATATATACTAATTTCTATGTGGCCATTAGTTTCGACGAGCAGATTTCATGCTCCATGCTTTCAGCTTCTCTACAGTGATGTGCTCAGTACCATTGTTGAACACAAATAAGTGAGCATTTTTCTTTATTGCAAGTGTTGGATAAACTCTAGATAAGATGTTTGTTCTCCCTCCAGCTCCAAAACTCTCCACAACAGAGTGATCAATCTGCCATATTAAAATCAAACATAAAAGAAATTAATGATATAGTATGCATGGTTGTTCTTGGAGTTCATGAATAAGCATTCAGGTATATTAGACTTTATACCACCCTTATACTTTCACACTTAACTTGCTTTCTTCTATTTTTCTTTTAGAAGCAAACCCTTATGAAATTTGAGTTAAAGTAAAAAAAAAAAATCTTTATCTTTTCTAATTTAAATATGATTTTAGATTTTAGTGTACACTTATCTTACACAGTTAGAAGACGTGTTTCATTGTATTATACTAATTTAAAACAATAATTAAACATTTAAACTCATCAGTTGTCTTAGGATGTTAGATTATTTTTAATTCAAATATATAAAACTACCTTATAAAATGATGATTAATTTTCACTTATATATTATTTTACTTGTTGAGTTGGGATCTCTAACATATTATAGAATGTAAGTTTAAATCAAATTCAACCTTACAAAATTGATTTATAAGGTGAAACATGATTTATATACAAGTGACAATTTTAATTGTAGTCATAGTATTATTATTATTTTTTTTTTTGCAACTTCAACCCATTAAGTGATATAAAAAGTATAAAAGGATAAGTTGGGAAAATATGAAACTGAAAAGAAAAATACAATTTACTCATTATTATGTAACACCAAATGAGGTGATGAACATACCAAACTCCTGAGAGACAATTTTTTATGGGCTAAATCCACATCCACAAAGCCTGCAAATGATGGCTTGTACAATTCTCTCTTCAAAGAGGAACTGTGGAGATGTACAAAATTAAAGTTAATTAGAAAACATGCACATACATAGTTTTGAGAAAGCAAATTGGAATAATGGAAGTATATCTCATCCCCATTTTAGTTAGTGAACAAACCTTCTTGCATCGGAGCACATGAGAACAACATGCTTGTTTGGAGCTTTGAAAATTCTAAAGAACACAGGAGTAAACTCCTCCAAGTTTTTTGAAGCCAAAGTCAAAAGCCCAAATGGCCCAACCCCACCTTCAACCTTTGAACCCTTCTGTGCACATAGATCTTGTGCATTCACCCACCTAGAATCAAATGTCTCTGCCTTATCCAAGCTTGAGAATGAGAAGGTAACCTCCACATCAGCCTGAAATATATATATATTAAGTGCATTTCATTTTAGAATACATTAATTAGAGTTTAATTTTTAAGTATTATTTCTGTATTTTTTTTTACAATACTAACCAATTTAAAATTAATGTAAATCAAAGTTAATATGACTTTTAAGATAACTGGTATAAAAGTTAATAAACTTATCATACTACATATAGTAACATATATATGATTAGATAACAATGTGTAAACTTATAGTACTCTTATCGTTTAAACATATATGGTTTTCTTGATTATAATAAATGCCATATAGGTAAGAAAACTTTAATGCTTTTGTTTGGGTGATGAAAGATTTTGAAAATAAAGAAGTAAAAGAGAAGAGAAAATGAATTGGTTTTTAAATTGTTTAAATTGAAAAAAGTAAGAAATAAGTAAGTGAGAAAGAAAAGTATGTGTATATTCAAAGGATACATTTGACCTAGTAATACATTTACGTAATATAAAACAAAAAGGCAAATTCATCATTTCTACTCTGTCTAATGAGTTCCACACAATTTTATCATTTTTTTTTTCTCCACATATCTCATTAACCTTGAAGAGTATTTTTAATATGGGTCCTAACAAATTTGTTTATCCTCCCATCTCTATCTTTTCCCTAACAACCAAACAATAGACATTTTGACTTAGACTTATTTCCCTCTCCCTTAGAATCTTCTCAAACAAACAATATATAAATTACCAATTAATTAATTAGGAAGCTAACCTGAGCTGCAGTGATCCCTTTAACTTCAACATAATTTCCCTTCTTAAGCTTTTTGTTATTTATTTTAACTTCTTTCTCTCTTAGACTATTTAATTCTTCAACAGGCCATTGCACCAATTGTTTCCCATGAGAATCAAGCCATACAGTTCTTGGAATTGCCTGAAAATTTCAATACACACATAACATAATAAACAAACTTTAAAAAGAATGTGTGTTGTCTTAAAATTGTGAATTTAAGTCTAACTCAATCTTACAAAATCGGCTTTGTAAGGTGAGTGTTGTTTTCCACTCATATATTGTTTAATTATCTAATTTCTAGTCGATATGGGACTTGCCCCCTCATGTCCAACACTATTAGGCTTGGTACGTGGATAAATGGTAGGTGACCCTTTTTAATGGTCTAGGATTGACGGGACTTGAATACACCCCCTCATGCCTATGGTGCATGTATCAATGAATGGTAGGTAACCCTTTTTCTAATGATTTGGCGGGACTTGAATACACCCCCTCATGCTCATGGTACATGTATGAATGATGGGTGACTCATTTTTAAGAATCTAGGATAGTTCTGATACCATCTTAGAATAGTGAATTTAAGCTTAACTCAACCCTACAAAACTGACTTTGTAAGGTGAAAGTTGTTTTCTACTTATATGTTGTGTCCCGCATCCAATTATTATTACTCACTTATGATAAAAACAAGTAACAAGTAAACAATTGCTAGGAATAAAGATCATATATAAACTAAACTATACATAACATAATCATATAACATGCACATAAAGTACCTGAATCCCTGCCCATCCTTTCTTAACATCATCCTCTTTGGAATCTGACTCATTTGCCCAAGACCACAAAATTCTTCGTCTCTTACTAGGGTCAAAAAATGACTTGGATGCATAAAAGTTGCCATAATCATACCTAAGGCCACCCCAACCATCCTCCGAAGTGTTATCTGGGATATACCTATCCTCATTCATGAAATACGTTCCAATTGTGTAGTACTCATACCTAGTTACATCAAGACTATTCTTGAGAACATGCTTAACTCTATTGAGTCTATTACCAACCACGGATGTGTCTAACCCGTTTTTCCCTTTCAAAGAAACTGGGTAAAAATCTGGACACTCCCACATACCCGTAGAAGCAGCTGAATGGATCGGGTGCTTGGCCCGAATCCATTTCACAAAGTCCTTGCTCCTATACAAATAGGCCATTCCTCTATCTTTGCTTCTCCCACCAATCAACATCTTCCAATGTCCATCCTCACTCCACCATGCAGTGGTTGGGTCGCGGAACACACTACCATTCATATTGTGTTCCGCGACTATAATAGGATTAATGGCATTGGGCTTTATCCATTTTCTTAGAAATGGATCGGATGTATTCTCAGGTATAGCATAGCATTGCACCTCATTGCTATGCTTATTAATAACTCCTGTGTAAAGGATCACAGGTCCTTTACCCGGGAGTACCGTGGCTGACCCGGACCAACACCCGTATTTGTCAAAGGGTTTGGATGGGTAGAGGGCGGGTTCAAGTTCTTTCCAATTGATGAGGTCCTTTGAGACCGAGTGCCCCCACACAATGTTGCCCCAAACTGCCCCTTTTGGGTTGTATTGGTAAAATAGATGGTAGACTCCGTTGTAATACATGGGGCCTGCGGTGTTGGCATTAGAGGAGAGTGTTATTGCATGATATATGGTACAAAAGAAGATATGAATGACTATTATAGATTAAGTTTCTATAATTTATTCATATGAGATTTACATAATATAAAAAGAGATTAAAAAAACATGAGGTAAATGATTGATATGATAAGAAAAATAAAAAAAATAATATCAAAACTTACTGTATAAAGAAAGATGTTACAAATATGTTTATAAACATTTCTTTTATTGTTGATTGAAGTTTATGGAAAACTTTATTTTGTTGGACTTTCTTTTTTGTCAGATAATGAATTCTTATTTTTTTATTTAATAAATTAAACCCATAGTAAAAAATAACATTTTAAAAGAAGCGTGTTAAAAATGTGTATTAACTTTCTTCACAAATAATATAAACGAATATATTTATCATTCAAAGATTGAAAGAATATACAAAAGAAAAAAAAAATTCAAGGATATCTCACTCACCATTTGGATCTGCATGTGGTGATGATTGATAAATGCACGTTCACCCCATGAGAAAGAATAAGAAACCAAAAAATATCAGCATTCTATCACGAAAGAAAAAATTATATCTATAAAAATATATAAATTTTTTTTCACCGTTTTCATATATATAATTTTATAGATATTTTTATCTTTTATTTATTACAATAACTACATAATTATATTTTTAGTGAAGGATAATTCAATAATTTTATTTTATCAATTATAATAAAAATGATTATTTTTCATAATATTAATAAGGCACAAAGTACTTTTTTTTTTTGCTAGTAAATTTTGAAGGAAATATATATACTCAATTTTCCCGTGAGGATTACACTTTAAAAAGTGAGTTATAATTATTAATTAGAATATTAATATATTTTTTTGGAAAAAAAAATTAATAACTCTAAACCTAAAATTAATTAATAGATACTACATCCCTCCGTCCTTTGTAATAAAAATTAATTATTTGCCACACATGCACACCCATGCATAAGCATGGGGGAGGTTTAGTTTTCTTATTTCTTGACCTATAACTGAAGCATATATAAGTGATTGAGAGAGATTATTTAATGTGTGTGACCTAGAAGTGTTTTAAATTTAATAATTATTTTGTTGATTACCGGTCTTAGTTTAATACATAAGCATGGAGGTGTTTTCTATATTTTGTTGATTACTGGTCGCAGTTTTTTGTTGGTTACGTTCTTGTATGAACTTGTTTAATTATACAAGTTGTGTGTACTTTTATTTATTTATTTGAAACTCTAAATAATTTATTTCCATAATAACTAATTTGAGATTTAATAAATAAACCTACTTAAGAAATAAAATTTTGTAACTAATTAATTGTCTGGTGAATTTTGTTATCCTCACTAAATCTTTCTAGCTAGAATGATGTTGGCATGGACTAGTTAGGTTTGTTTTCAACCTGATGTCAGATTAATTATCAATTATTGATCTACAAATAATAATAAAATACATGATATATATACTTAGAAAGAAAATAAAAAGGATAAATTACTTTTTTAGTTTTTTTATATTCAATTTTTATTGATTTGTAATTTCGTTTTTCCTATTTAAAAATAGAGATATATAATATCTTTAATTTAAAAATATAAAAGTTTAATTCTTTTATCAAATTGACATCTATTAATTATTAATTTTTAATATTTATTCATATTTAATGTGACAATTTATAATACAACATTTGGAGATAAAAAATTATAAAAATAAAATTTATTAATAAAATAAATATTAATCATCTGTTAAAATATATATAAACAAAGATTTTTTTTATGTGATTTTTAAATTTTTATTTATATATTTTATGTCACTAAATATGATGTCACTTAAATGATAACAAATAATTAAATAATATTAAAATTTAATGATTAAATTGACAATAAGATCAAAATTTTATATTTTTAAAAATAGGGGACTAAATAGTCTATTTTAAAGTAGAGGTAATAAAATTACTAATTAATAAATTAGAGAGATCAAAATTATAATTCAGTCGAACAAAATTTATTAGAATTTAAGGTTTGTTTTTTTAAAAAATATTTTTAATTAGTTTTATCTTTCATAGATACTTATAAAATATCATTTTTTATTTCAAAAAATTGTATAAAATAAATGAAAGCATCATATATATTCGAAAACAAAACAAATAAAACAAAAATAAGTTGATATTTTTAAGATTATTTTAAAAATAAAAAATATTTTGTTAAACCAAACAAGTCTTTAAATACACAAAGCAATATTTATATTTGTAAAGAATAAAACAATCTTGATTATTTTTTATATACCCCCAAAAATAGAAATTAACATGATCAAAAGGCAAATTAAAATGTAGCAAACTTTAAATAATTAGAAAATATACTTTATGTAATAGGAGAATAAATTGTGAACCAGAACTATCTACGTTACATTTCTCAATGAGAAAGAAAAGAGATTGCATCTGCATGTGCTCTGATTTGTCCAAAATCAGCACGTTTGTATCAACTTCCATGTGTTATTTTGAAGAATACAGTAACATAGCAAACCAGTTCGTAAACGCAAATAGTAAGGCTGAGGTAAGATTAATAAAAAAAATGACCAATACAAGTTTGTACAGCAAGTTGTGACAAGCATATGCTGTAATTTTCCTTATTAATGCAAATTAGTCCTTCATCTCCATGTGTGAGTGGTCCGTGACTCCAAAATACATTGGCAACGTGAAGGCTAACCAAGAAGGTTCCAGCTACTTGAAAGGAATAAGCCATGTCACTCTCATTTCTAAGTATTTTTTGGAACATAGTCCACTCTCATAATAGTGTTTTAGGGTTCATAATTGCTGAGTAATTGATTATTTCATATTATAGCACAAAAATGTACAAGATGGAAAAAGGTGCTATCTGCACTAGCTTGCAATATAACCATTTTCTTCCTCTTGAAATGACAAGCATCTTTGTAATTAAAAAGGCAACCTAAGTAATCCCTTACCTTTTCATTTTGGCTCATGTATATTCACTATAACCTGCTAGATGCAAAAAGTTTTATATCTTGTCAATGTCACTATCTCCATTTTTCCAACAAAGTCTGAGATGCCACTACAAAGTACAAACTATTCCATGAAAACACGGAACATTATCCCCATACACTCAACTAGAAGGTCAAGAATATGAACTTATATAGATCACATTTTTAAGAGAAAAATAATAGATACCCTATTTTTATATCATATAATAAATTTATTCACTTTTACAATCACAAACAATCATTTTGAACAGTTGAAAAATAAAAAACTTTCTTAGAGTATGAATATAGTTTATATTAAATAAATTAAAAAATTAAAAAATTTAAACTGACTTATTTAAATAAAATATTTATAAAATAATAAAAATTAAAATTAAAATAATTCAAAATTCAAAAATTTTAAATTCTAAATTTTTTTCATTCAAATACATTATAATGTTTTGCAATTGTAGTGTTAAATTTACTTATATAATTGTCATCCATAAATATAATTCTTCATATTATTTAATCCCTCGATTTCTCAATAAACTTCTCCACTCACAATATAGAAATTGTTATTTTTTTAATCCAATAAAACATGTTTCTTCTCACTACTCAGCAAAATCCTCTTAAGCATACTTGTACTAATGATATTGTTTGGGAAGTCTTTATACATATTTACTTATAGTGATGGTAGTGAAATAGTAGCCAGGACTCCCAATATTATAATATGCTAATGCTATTCTTATATAACTACTTCAATAGTGATAACAAATATATAGACAAGAATCACATTGAGGAAACATAATTGCACTCTAAATACGTACGTAGGAGAAGGAAAAAGTGCATGAGTAAGAAACTGAAAGCGTTACCGTTGATCCAGTTTCTATGAGGTTGAAAATGGTATCCAGTTCTGTGAATTTTGCTCACGGTACGCGCTGAAATGGATTGAAGATCAGGATATATCTCATGAAAAGCTTCAACGCCATTGTTACAAATCACACAAAGGGAGAAAACTGCTATAACTGTGAGACAATATGGGAGAGCCATGAGAATAAACTGAGAAACAATATATGATGAAGAGGGAAGGGGAGCATTGTGAAGGAAGAGTTACCAATTGCTGTTATTTATAGAGTGAAAAATGCAAAGGACCTAGTAAAGGTAGATGAAATTAGGCCATGTATACGACCTCTTCAATACTAATACGTCTTAGTTGGTTTCGTTGTAATTAAATTGATTTGGTTTGAATTAGTTTTATATGATTAATTAGAAATTGTTTCTCATGTTTATATATCAAACAACGAGTTTTAAATTGGGTTATGGATCAAATTTTATATTTGGAATATATTACAAATTAATTGAGTTGATTTTACATTTTATTTATTTGCCTGATTTAAATTATGTTAAATAACTTCATTATTAAGTAAAAATATCAATGATCAAATAATTAACACTAAATTTGAAATTAATTAAATTTACTTAATTTTAAAAGTTCACGCATTAATTTGTTTTTACCACAAGTATCTTTTAACAAAAGACAATACTATTCGAGTTAAGCACATGTGCTCCTAATAGTGGTTTAACTCGATTCGAACATCACTATCTTCAATAACAAATTCTTGAGATACAATTTCTTATTTTTATTTCTTATTTTGAATGAACTTTCAACATAAGAAAAACATAAATTAGCGTTAGTTAAAAGTTAACATTAATCAATGAAAGTTGACACTAAATGTTCCTTTGTGTTGACTTTGAGGATAACTTTAAAACATGGAAGATAATTAGTTGTAAGGACTTGGCTCACAATAAATTAAAAACTATGTATAATTAAAAAGAGCTAAAAGCATCAACACGGTTGACACTAAGATATGACAAAAAAATGTTGTTAACATAGTGTCCCTTGAGATTTAAGCCGTCTTTGAGGTAATTCGAGTTAGAGTTAAGTTAGTTCAACTTATGGAAGGGTATATAAGATTTTTCTTATTAAGACATGAATCTAATAAGTTCATGTTTTAAGAAAAACTAGTAAGAAGTTAGAAAAAAGTTCTCTAGAAAACCTGAAGACTCTTTCTCCCTTTTCTTCTACTAAATCATTCACTTTCTTTAATTTCCTCTACACCTGAATCTACTTGACTGAGTAGGAGATTCAAGTTCCCAGAGCAAGAATTTCGAGTAGAAGTCATGTGAAGTTTTCTTTTTTTTCTTTTTCCTCTCTTCTTGGTTGATCAACTAGAGGTAAGAGTATGCATGGTAACGGGGCGGGATGTGTTTTATGTTCCCTGCCTCTGCCCATGCAAATTTAAATCGGCCGCTTCTTCCCCCACCCCCAACCCCGATACCTGTTGGAGATAGAATCTAGGTATCCATCCCTGTCCCCAACAGTTTTCGGGTTTCCTCAACCTACCCTCGCCCTCACTTCTAGACCTTTTTCTTTCTTCTATTTCTAATAAATATGAAAAATAAAAAAAAAGAAAATCAAGATAATACAAATTTTTTACATATAAAGAATTCTAATTTTGGTTTATATATATATATATATAAGAATAATTTTTTAATTATATTATTAAGCAGGACGAGGGCGGTGGCGGGTACGGGGGCGGGGATTAACATCCCCGTCTCCACCCCCGTTCCCAATTTTATCAATCGGGAAAAACTCGAACCCGATCAACATGGGTTTTCCCCGTCCAAATCGGGCCGGGTTTGGGTGGGTACCCACGGGATCGGGTTATATTGCCATGCCTAGGTAAGAAAATTTTGTGTTTGATGGTTGTGTTTTAATTGATGATTTGTTGTTTGAATTCACTATTTGGTGGCTGTTTGGATTGAAAATTTGAAAGGAGATGATCATTATATTGAGTTGTAGTTTTGGTTGTGTTTTGAAGGAAATTTGGTGATCAATATTTTATAATGATTGCATGTTGTGTATGAAGTTGTTTTCGAGCTATTTATGATGCTTATATAATGCATTATGCATTGCATGTTGGTCTCTTTCGAGTTTTAGGTAGATTTGAGCCAAAAATGAGATTCTGCTAAGTGTGAAAATCCTCATCATGTTGAGCATGCCTTCTTGACATTAAGTGTAGCTCAAATTAGGGGTCTTCTGTCTCACTTACGCCAGACGCATGATTGCTGACGTCAAGTGTAAGGAGAGAGAAATACCTCTGACTTGGTCATGCTAGATGTGGTTTGAATAACGCTAGGTGTGAGGAGAGAGAAAAGTCTCTAACTTGGTGACACTAGACCCTTGGTTGTGTGGCACCTAGCATGACCAAAACAAAGCTCTCTTCCTGAGTAAAGTCAAGTGTCAATAAAGCGACATTAGATGCGAGGAGAGAAATTTGTCTCTGCCTAAATTGGGGTTGGGCATTAGTGTAGCCACGCCAGGCGTAATTGTTCTAGGGGAGCTTTGATGTTACCCATGCTAGGCTGGCTGGGTTGAATGACTTTGGGCGTGGGTGAGACAAAAAGTCCCATGTTTCAATAGATGAAAAATGTTGATTAAATTATATGATGAATGTTGTATGATTATAACTTATTATGCATTTAGTTGATATAATCTATAATGATGTTTATGTTCCCAAGAGGTAAGCTAATAGATGATTAAGTTGCAAAGTTATATGATGTTATAGTTTAATAAGTTGTTAAGTTGTTAGGCATGTGGTCAAAATACATGTTTTAGTTGAGATACATAAAAGCTAGAAGAGAGTTATGTTGTTTAAAGTTGTACCCTATAAGATTTACGTGGAACAACATGGAGGTGTGGTTGATCCATATTGTAGTTGAAGTCATCAACCGAGTAAGGTATAAAGACCAAGGCTTAGTTCCTAATTGAGTACTGGAAAGGTGAAATATTTGAAGGGTACTCATATTATTCTACCCTAATAGAAATACTAGACTTCCCAGTTTAAGTGACAAAACTTGAAAAATCAAATTAAGTTGTATACCTGACTGTCTAAGAGGGCTAACACTATCTATACTTGACCTAGTTGTGATAGGTTTGATGCTGTAGTTTGATAGAGTCAAACCACTTAAATTGATCACTTATGAGGGATTCACTTATTCTCAAAGTAAGTCTATCTAGACTTACTTCACTCAATAATTAATACTTTACATCAAATTTCAATGATTTAATCTTTGAATCAAAAGTTTTGAATGTATAAATAAAATCTACAGTCTTAAAAGTTTAAAAACTATTTGATACTTCAATTCGTTTTATTAATTCAAATTAACACATGAAATGTATGTTTTATAATTATCTGTCATTTAGAATTAATGAAATGGAATACCAAATGATTTTCAATTTTTTTAAAACTTTACAAACAATCTATGCATTAAATTTTTTTTAATTCAATGATTGAATCATTGAAATTTGATGTAAAACATGAGTTATTAAATGTAATAAGTCTAAATAGACTTACTTTTAAAATAAGTGAATCCCTCTTATATATATATATGTATAATTATATGCTAAGGTTTTTAAGTTGTTTATATTGTAAGTTATTGAGTTATTTGTATGATGATATTATTGCAAGTTATTAATTTAAATGCGATAATTTTTTTACTTTTATTTTATTTTTTTATGATTAAAACTACAATGATTATAATTTATGTATGAACATAGTAAGATTAATAAAATAGCTTATTTAGTTGATAAAAGGTCAAATAGTTGATGATCCATTTTTGGTGATATCACTTTAATAATTTCATTATGTAGTAAATGAACAATATTAAAAATAATAACATGAGGATACTTATACCACCATCATAGCATCTTTATCAAAGGCAATTTTTGTCACTGAACCAAAGCCCCCACCATCCACAACCATCAAAATCCATCACCCATCAACACAAATCAACCAATCCACAATCTCTCTAGATCTTGACCATTGTGACCGTCGCCAGCACCGAGACCCCCACCACTACGACCACTTCCACAACTTCTCCAATATTATTAGAAAAAGATTAAAAATAATATTCTACAAATTTCAACAATTCAAATATAAATTTTTAAAAATACATTCTTTTATTAATTTAAATTGATAAATAATTATAAAATTATTTTATATATTAATTTAAATTTATATGCAATGAAATATTAGATAATTTTAAACTTTTTTTTTTAAAAAATTTAAACTTAATTTACACATTAATTTTTTTTTTAATTTAATGATTAAATTATTAAAATTTAACATAAAATATAAATTATTTACTAGAGTAAATTTATCAAAATTTATTTTTAGAATAAGTAAATCTTTCTTAATATATATATATATATATTTATATATAAACTTTTTAAAAAAAGTAAATTAATTTTAGATAATATTTTAAATTTTTTTTTTAATGATGATCTAATGTTAACGTAAATGACAATTACACCATCGATTTTTCTCGGATAAAATAGAAAAAAGTAAGGCAAAAATATACTTTTCGTCTCTTATATTATTTATTAAATTTAATTTAGTTTCACTTTAATTAATTAAATTAATTTACTCTCACATCTTTAAAATGTATCTCAATGTTTGATTTTTCGTTTCCTTCGTTTAAATGTTTAACAATATGATATGTGTCATGCTGTCATATCACATGACTGGACTCATGACATGTGGCATGACACATGACATGACACGTGACATGATGATATGATACGTGACATGACACGTGGCATGACAGCATGATACGTGTTATGACAACATGACATGTGACATAACACGTGTCAAATCCGTTAAGTATTGAAACAGAAAAAACGGAAAATCAAACATTGAGGTACATTTTAAATATGTGAAACTAAAATGATTCAATCAATTAAACTGAGACTAAATTGACATTAATAAATAATATAAGAAAAAAAAATGTATTTTTGTCAAAAAGTAAATATGTACGTGATATCACTTCATGCAAACAGCTTTCCGGTAAAGTTGATCGCGTAATTGTTTTTGTTTTCTGTCTTTCATCCGAAGAGTTTCTCATCCCCTTTTCTATCTCCTTCTTGTTACTCTCTGCCTGTGACAGTGTCATTCATGAGATGAGAAAACCTTTACCAAAGCAAGATATAGTGCAAAACGAGTTTAGAAAATGCAAAACAATATAATAACCACATTCTTT